CTGTGGCCAAAGGAAAACAATCTGAGGTAATAATAATAATAGCAGCTATTGTTTATTGAGATCTTAATATCTGCCAAGCACTATGTGAAGTATTTTTCATGGATTATCTCATTTAATCTCACAATACCACCCTATTATTAACATCCCCATTCTAGAAATAAGAAAACTGAGGCTTAAGTAATTTAAGACCACACAGTAGATAAGTGATAAGAGCCAGAAACCAAACCCAGATGGACTAATTCCAAACCCCACAGTTTTAACTGCTAGGTCACAGGAAAGGTCAGCCAGTGTGGTACTAGGGAAAGGTAGCTATGGGGGTGGGGAAGACAGTGCAGAGCAGAGAAAGATGGTCAAAGACTGGCATCAGATGTGAAAGTCTTACAGTAGCTTGATCTCTTTCCTGTGCATGACCAGGATCTGTTCTGATCTGTTTCCTGCTGGTCTACCTTTATTACAGTTCCAGAATCTGACCATTTCTGACCACTTCCACCACCACTGCCTTGGCCGGAGCCGCCATCATCTGTCATATGATTTACTCTAATATTGTCCTAACAGATCTCTCCTTTTACCCTGACTCCCCTAGAGTCTATCTTTAACAAGCAACTAAAGTCATCCTTTAAAATATAAGTTAGAGCATGTCTCTCTCTGCAAAGTCCAACAATGACTTCCCATTTCCCTCAGAGAAGCAAGGTCCAAACAATAGCCTTCACGGATCCACCTGCTCTGCCTCCTACCCCATTACCTCTCTGACCTCATCTACTAACAGTTTTCACCTCATTCACCCCACCCACACTCTGTGCTTAAACGTCACACATGCTCCTGCCTTATGGCCTTTGCTCTAGCTGTCCCCACTGTCTGGAACAATCTTTTCCCATATATCCACGTGATGAATTCCTGCAACTCCTTCGAATCATTGTTCAGATGCCGCTTCCGTATAGGGGCCTATCTTTACTACTCTAAGCACTCTCCCTCACTCTCCCCTACCTCCATCTGCTTTCTCAATCCCCCTTACACTGGTCTACTTTTTTTCTCCACACCACTTATCAATTCTAACATACTACAGAGATTATTTACTATGCTTACTATCTGCGTTTCTCTGATAGAATATAAGCTCCTTGAGAGCAGAAATCTTTTTTTGTTTTGATGTAGCCCAAGCACCTAGAAGAGTGTCCATCCAGTAACGTGCTCAATGAGAAGTGACAATAGGAATAAAGCGCAAAGTGACATAAAAAGGGAGAATACTTTCATAGTTAAATTTTTAAGAGAGAATGATTAATGAATACCTATTCAATTTGTTTTAGGAGAAGCTATAATTTTCTTTTTCTGAATCTATTAGTTCTATAGCTAAATTCAATCTCTCTAACCAAACACATTCAACTGTTAAAACTGTGATAAAAGTGATTTTCCAAAAAAAATCTAAAAGATAGTAAACACTGTTTACATTGTCCAAATTCTCTTCTACATATCAAACCAATAAATATTTTAGGATACTGTATCTTAGTTATCTATTGCTGCACAACAAATAACCCCCAAACTTAGTTGCTTAGAATGACAATAAACATTTATTATCTCATAGTTTCTAGTTCAGGAATTTGGGAGTGGCTTAATTTGACAGTTCTGGCTCAGGGTCTCTCATGATACTGTAGTCAAGATGCAGGCTGGGGCTGCAGTCATCTGAAGGCTCGGATAAGGCTGAGGACCCATCTCCAAGATGGCTCACTCAATGGTTGGCAAGCTGATCTTGGCTGTCGGAAAAAAGTCTCAGTTGCTTCCCACATAGACTCTCTATAGAGCCTTAAATGTCTTCACAATGTGCTGGCTGGCTTCCTCCAGAGTGGGCAATCCAAGAGAGAGCAATGCAGAAGCAGCAATGCTTTGTATGACCCTTCAGGTCATACACTATCATTTTCCCCATATTCCATTGGTCATACAGACCAATGCTGATGAAATGTGCAAGAGGACTACACAAGGGCACAAATACTAGGAGGTGAGGATCAATGGGGCCATCTTGGAGGCTGGCTACTGCGTTATAACCAGTATTTGTATAGTATTTTGTATTCAGCTTTTTCTTTCCAGTTTATATATATCCCTATTAACACAACTTACATACTTCTTGCTTTAGAAACTATGTTATTCCAATGATATTAACTCTTTTTTATAAATTTATTTATTTATTTATTTATGTTTTATTTTTGGCTGCGTTGGGTCTTCATTGCTGTGTGTGGGCTTTCTCTAGTTGCGGCAAGCAGGGGCTACTCTTCATTGTGGTGTACAGGCTTCTTATTACGGTGGATTCTCTTTGTGGCACAGCACAGGCTCTAGGCGTGCAGGCTTCAGGAGTTGTGGCTCACGGGTTCTAGAGCGCAGGCTCAGTAGTTGTGGCACATGAGGTTAGTTGCTCCGCGGCATGTGGGATCTTCCCGGACCAGGGCTCGAACCCATGTTCCCTGCATTGGCAGGCGGATTCTTAACCACTGTGCCACCAGGGACGTCCCTCCAATAATATTAACTCTTAAAAATTAAAAATGTCATGGACTTTTAACTGCTCTGAAAATATCACATCCCACCACTTGAAGCCATTCATTTTTTCTGTCACAGTCCCAATATTTTACTTAAGGAAAAGAATTAAAGTCAGAAAAACTACAATTCAAACAATGTCCTGCTTGTTTCTAAGAGTGAAAATGAGTTTAAATACTTCAAATAAAAGTCAGATAATTTTAGAAAAGAGTAGGAAGAAAAGAAGTGAGTCATTACAGATTACAGACATCAGTTAATAACTGAATAATAAAAATTAAATACTAAATCAAGGAAGATACAGAGTGAAAATATATTAACAGAATAGCAACTTTCTTCATGCTACATACAGAAGAAAAATTCTAATACAATGGTAGTATTAATAATTAATACTTAGGAATCTGACTGCCAATGCAGGGGACACGGGTTCGAGCCCTGGTCTGGGAAGATCCCACATGCCGTGGAGCAACTAAGTCTGTGCGCCACAACTACTGAGCCTGCGCTCTAGAGCCTGTGAACCACAACTACTGAGCCCGCATGCCTAGAGCCTGTGCTCCACAACGAAGAGAAGCCACCACAATGAGAAGCCTGCACACCGCAACAAAGAGTAGCCCCCGCTTGCTGCAACTAGAGAAAGCCCGCGCACAGCAACGAAGACCCAAAGCAGCCAATAAATAAATAAATAAAAATAATTAATACTTAGGTACTGAAGAGATATTTGGTAGAAAGGGATAAGACTGACAACTGGCACAGATTTGAAAACCACTGAAAAATTTTATAACAAGCATTTTTCAAATATTAACTAGATAAAAAAAGGTTTATTAAAAAAACCAACTTTTATTAGATTGTTGCCAAGGAGCTATAATAAGACCTGTGAGCATGGAAACTACAGGGGAGAGATAGAACAGGAAAAAGAATTTCCCAATAATATGAGTTGTCTCATGTTGGTGGGGAGAGGAGAATTCTTGCCCCAAGGGCTCAGCCCAAATCTGATCACATTGTCCAAGTGGATTCACAAGTCAGAAGGCTGGTTGCATGAGATTTCTTTCAAGGTTCCTTCAACACTAAGATCAAATACTCTCTCAATAAAGGAATTGGAATTGGTAGTTACCAACAAATATAAACAGATTACTTCTTTCAGTACTTTATTCCACTTTAATAAAAACATCATTAGACATATGTCAAGAAGGCCCACTCTGTACAATGAACCACCAGAGTCTTATACTGAAATGAGGTCACACAGTGCGTGATTTCATTGTTGTTTCAGGCTTGACTTAGCTACAATAATCACCGCATAAGGAAAGCTGTTGCTACTGCTGCCTCACTTTCCTCACAAGTCACAAGGCCTTTTCTTCCCTATTCATTAAAAGTAGAAAGTCCTTTAGGTAAGAAGATACTATTAATCAGGAGGGGATTAATATTGCCCCAATGAGCAAATATAATGAAAATCTAAGGTGATAAACTATCTCTGCCTCCAAACCCATATTCACCATGGGAGGCACTTATTTGCAGAAGAGGAATTGCAAGGATCAGTGCCATGTGTCACTGTTTATACCGGAGTTTGTGAGAAGAGAAGTGAAAACATATTTTCCCTTTCTTGTTATCAACTGAAAAACAGCTACTCCTTCAAACATGTTGAATCAGTATGAAAAACTTGAGAAAGGCAAATATTACAATGATACCTCATGTATAAAGCAAGGAATAGGGGTGCCATATAAGTACATTCCCTCAAATGTGTCTTTTTTAAAAAACATTTATTTATTTATTTATTTAGGCTGCACCAGGTCTTAGTTGCGGCACACAGGATCTTCATTGCTGCACGTGGGATATTTTAGTTGAGGCACGTGGACTCTTAGTTGCTGCGTGTATGTGGGATCTAGTTCCCCGACCAGGGGTCAAACCTGGGCCCCCTGCATTGGGAGCGCCGAGTCTTACCCACTGGATCACCAGGGAAGTCCCTCAAATATGTCTTTACAATATTTCTTCTCTAAATACTATAACATTTTTATTTTAATAGTGTTTGGTAAAAATGTTTCTAAAGTGACATTTTATTTATGGTTCAGAGTTATGATTATAATCATCAGCTATATTTTTCTGTAAACTTGGGATGCCTTCAGGGACTATAGGTCTGTAGGACTGTTTGTCCTTCTGCCAACTAATAGTCACAGATTGCTATTTTTCCTTGACATCATACTATCTGTTATCGCTGATCAGTGTTGTCATGTGCCTGACTCCTTCAATAAGCTGCCATCATCTAATTTTAAAAAATCTTTTATGGGATATGAACCGGAGAGCCATAATCATTAGACTTTTATGTCAACTTACACAAATGAGGGCCTCTCCAACAAATAAGGGTTGTGGAATCTGTGACAGCTTTTACTGGCTCATTGATCCCTTTCCATTTACTATGAGCTCTCAGCTAGGAATAAGAAAGCATAAATCTGACCTATGGAAAAGTAGGGTATTACTTTATATAGGTTACTTACCAATATCTTCTTTTCCTTCTAGGCTTTCCGCTTTGTTTCCTTCAATTAATGTATCACTTTTTCAACCTACAGAAGATGGACATGGATACTCATAAGACCAAAGTTCTCTTTTTTTTTTTTTTTTTTTTTTTTCTTGCGTTATGCGGGCCTCTCACTGTTGTGGCCTCTCCCATTTGCGGAGCACAGGCTCCGGACGCGCAGGCTCAGTGGCCATGGCTCACGGGCCCAGCCGCTCCGCGGCATGTGGGATCTTCCCGAAACGGGGCACGAACCCGCGTCTCCTGCATCGGCAGGCGGACTCTCAAGCACTGCGCCACCAGGGAAGCCCCCCAAAGTTCTCTTTTTTTCTCTCTTGTCAGTATGCCTATTTTTGATTCAGTTATCTCTTTTTGCATTTCTGTTTCCAATCTATTCAGGAAAGCAGATCACCAAGTTAATCTCCTGACTTGTAGTCTAGTACTCTTGGGCTCTCTCTCCTCTTTCACAATTTCTTTTCAAACTACAACTGCAGCCATTCTAATAAAATCACTCGTTTACAAAATCAGTAATAACAAGGCGAGGTGAGGCACACTCCCTCTGAAAGCTAGAGTACATTACTGTGTAAATGTATGTGTGCACATGTATTGGGGGGTAGTGATTAAAGAGCTAATCCATAAACAAAGTACATAAGTTTATGCACTTTGTGAGGTTTTTGGCTGTGAAGAACTCAAATACCAGTTGTGTGTTCCACAATGTGATCGAGAGTGGTACTATTACATAATGAGTATGTGGTTAAAAGGGACTAAGCCAATCCCAGTCCTAGGTATATATCCACAAGATTAAAAACAGGGACTGAAATAGATATTTCTATACCAATGTTCACTGCAGCATTATTCACAACAGACGTGGAAAAAGCCCAAGTGTCCATCAACAGATGCACAGATAAACAATACAGTATACACAAATACAATGGAATATTCTTTAGCTACAAAAAAGAAGTTCTGATACATGCTACGACACTGATGAACCTTGAAAATGTTATGCTAAGACACATACAAAAAATATGATTCCACTTACATGAAATATCTAGAATAAGCAAATTCACAGAGACAGAAGTAGATTAGAGTTTACCAGGGGTTGGGATGAGGGGAGAATGGAAGTTATTGCTTAACAGGTCCACAGTTTTTGTTTGGGGTGATGAAAAAGTTTTGCAAATAGATAGTAGTGACAGTTGTACAACACTGAGTATATAATTAATACCACTGAATTGTATACTTAGAATGGTTAAAATGACAATTTTTATGTTATATATATTTTACCACAGTTAAAAAAACTTTTTTCTTTAAAAGCAGAGGGAACCAAGCACTGCAAACATAAGATCATAAGAGGAAAAACTTTGGCTACTATCTCAACAGAGCAACAGTTATGACAATGTTCATCCCTGAACCACCTCATGAGCCAAGTATGACTTAAATTCTGAAGGGTGGTACTGATACTCAGAAAATGTCTTTGAGCATCTGAGTTTATATAGTATCTTCTATTCTCCCAGAAAGAGAAAGTTAAACTTACCAATGCAACATAAACTTGAAAATTATACATTTAAGAGAGGATGTGAACAATGTTATAAATTCTAACTATAGGGCCTCCAAAGCAAACATTTTCAAGAAAGGTCTTCTTACATTTTGTTTACAACTTCAATGCTTCTCCAGGTATTCCCTTGGTATTCTAGGATGGAATGAGTGGTATCTACCCCTAAGCATGCAATCTTGCCAACATTTCTATTAAATTTTCCTTTTAAAAACACTTATATTGTGTACATGCTAATACACTGAACTCAAAACAAGAGACACCTCAAACTGGCATCTCCAAACATCTCCCTTCCTCCATGCCCCCACCCCATACAGAGAGGGTTAAATGGATTCTCTAATTTCCTGTCTTTGTTAATGGCACCACAAACTTCCTAATTCACAACTAAAATCTTCATCATCTTTGAATTCTCCTCTCTCATGCCCAATCTTTTATCAAGGATTGATGATTTTTGCTTTGCAATATCTTTCCCATCTCCTTCTTCCCTCCTAGCTTCTTGCTGATATCTAAAGTCTGGCCTTTATTACTTCAGACTTGGACTGCTATGGCCTCTTAACTGGTCTTCCAGTCACCAATGCCTCTCTTCTCAAACCCATATGCTACTGTCTTCCTAAATACTACTTTCATCGTTTTCTCACTAGACTGTAACCCATATCATGGCAGGGATTCATTTATCTTTGAGAACATTGCATAACCAGGCATATGCGATGGTTAGTTAATTCATCAATGTTTGTTGAATGAATTAATGAATATATAAGTCACATCACTTTCCTTCTGAAAACTTTCATCAATTTCCCACTGTCCATAACAGAAGTTATAAACTCAAATACTGAAATACCTACTGGGGCAGGCAGAAAATGTAAATAAGTAAAGGTGTGTGTAATCAACAGGAAGTTGTGGGGACTGTGTAAAATGGAAAGCACATGTCCCATCTTGTCCCATCTAAAGGGTAAGTTGCTTGCTGTTCCCACAAATTGCTGCCATGATGAAATACAGGCTCAGTATTGCCAGGTCTTCTGATTTTTGAAAATAAGCTAAAAGCACAGATTTCTATGTAGAATCTGGTTTTTAAAATAGTGGCAACTAATTCCATTAAAAAAACAAAAAATAAAAACAAAACTCAAAAAACCACCATGCAGGCCAAACAAAACATATCTATGGGCCAAATCCAGGTCTCAAGTTTCAAGTTGGTGACTCTGCTCTGTAGGATTAAAAGATAAACTTCTTGCCTAACATTCTAAGTCCTTCTAAGTCCCAGGCTACCTTAACCAAAGTTTTTTGCCCACTACTTTCATACAAGAACCCTTTGCTCTAAGCACACATCAGAGCCACCTGGAGGGCTTGTTAAAACATGGATTGCTGGGGGACTTCCCTGGTGGTCCAGTGGCTAAGACTCTGCACTCCCAATGCAGGGGTCCTGGGTTCAATCCCTGGTCAGGGAACTAGATCCCACATGCTGCCAAGTAAAGATTCTGCACACCGCAACGAAGATCCCACGTGCTGCAACTAAGACCCAGCACAGCCAAATAAATAAATAAATATTTAAAAACAACAAAAGCAACCAAAAAACATAGATTGCTGGGCTTCACTGTCAGCATTTCCAATTCAATAGGTCTCAAGTTGGGACTGAGAATCTGCATTTCTAACAAGTTACCAGATGATGCTGATACTACTGGTGCGTGGACCACACTTCGGGAACCGTTGCTCTAGTTAAATTACTCCTTGTCTCAAGCACACGTGATTTTGCTCATTTGTTCAACCTTCCCAGAAAGCCTTCCCTTTTACTTTCAGCCTACCTCCTCCTGTAAACTTTCTGACAGTCTTTCATGCCTCCAAATTCCTGTAGCACTTAGGGTCCATACCATTTCCACTTTATCCATCACTGCTTGGTGAATTTTATTGTTAACTGTGCATAGCTTCCAATGGGGAAGCTATGTGTATTGTATATTCTCAGAGGTCAATGTCCAGGTCAGCACCTTATACACCTGACTGTAAGCCACTTGAAGGCAGGGCCCTGTCTTGCCTCCCACTGTACCCCTCAAGCTATCAGAGCTTGGTATTCAGTTGGTACTGTACCTACTAAACATTTCTTAAATGAATGAACATTGGACAGATCCATGAAATGAAAAGTGCAGATAAGCAGGCTTGAAATTTGGGTATATAACTTTTTTTTCTATAATTTATTTATTTATTATTTATTTGGCTGCATCGGGTCTTAGTTGCAGCACACAGGATCTTTGCTGCAGCGCAGGCTCTTCGTTGCAGCATGCGGGATTCTCTCTAGTTACGGCACAGGGTCTCCAGAGCATGTGGGCTCAGTGGCTGTGGCGCATGGGCTTAGCTGCCTTGCAGCACGTGGGATCTTAGTTCCCCGACCAATCCCCTGCATTGGAATGCAGATTCTTAACCACTGGAACACCAGCGAAGTTCCGGTATATAACTTTTCTTAAAGAACTGACTTTAAGGGGGGGAAAGCGGTGGGGGGGGGGGGGGATGAATTGGGAGATTGGGATTGACATGTATACACTGATATGTATAAAATGGATGACTAATAAGAACCTGCTGTAGAAAAATATAAATTAAATAAAAATTTAAAAAACCCACCTGACTTTAAGTCCTGTGTAATGGTTTTGTCAGAAAGGACAACTAATAAAAATTGAATATTTTGCAAATAAATTGCCAATAGACAATAATCTGTGGTAACAGATTCTGTATATAAGTACAACAGTGAATGTCAAAATGATTTGAAAATTTATAAGATTATATCCTTTATCTCCAGGATTCCTTATCCTCTGTAGGGATGTGAACTAGTCATTATATTGTTAGGGGAAACACTGACTGAAACCGCCCACCCTGGCCAGGCACCACAGTAAGCATTTGCATGAGTTATCTTGCGACAGGAGGTCCTGGTAAGGAATGCAGAACTAACAAACCACCACAAACTGGAAGAATTCGGGAAAGGTCAAAAGAGAGGAGACATGAGTCCATATGTCCTACCAACCTCCCAGAATCCTCCTCACTGGAATCCATCTTGGCTGAGTGATGCGTGTGCCACCAGGAAGGACGCTGAGTCAGAGTGATTGGCCAGAGACAACCCAGAAACTAACCCCATTATCATAAAACCTGAGACTGCGAGCCACATGGCACAGCAGTTTTCCTGGGTCCCCTTACCCTCCTGCTCTCCACCCGGGTGCCCCTTCCAAATAAATCTCTTGCTTTGGCAGCACGTGTGTCTCCTCAGACAATTCATTTCTGAGTGTTAGACAAGAGCCCACTCTCGGGCCCTGGAAGGCGTCCCCCTTCCTGCAACAATATCACAAGATGATAGCTATTTAATAGAATTCTATATTTGTACCACATGTAATGAAAAAGTAGGATGAAAGTAACTCTCCATGATATTCAGAAATATTGATCATATGACAATAAATGCATCCAAGATTCTAAAGGGTGTGTGAAAACAAAACCAAAAACTGTTCACCTGGTCTCTTCTACTTATAAAACAGCATCAGCTATCAGGCAACTTCAAGGATGCTTTATGAGTAGAACCTCGGTCTCCAAGCTAAACCAGAATAAAGCCACAGATGACTTTAGAGAGTAAACCCAATTCTGGAACTACTGGAAGAAAAAATTAGAAATAATATGTATTTTGAGATATAATCCTAAGTTCTTATTTGGCTTTTTGAGCAACTCCACACTTGATGGTATTATAGTCAATGGGACAAGAGAAAAGTTAACATCTTTTGGCAAAGACAGAAAATCCAATTCAGGAAAACAAAACAAAACCAACCCAGGAGCAAATGAAGTACATTTACAGCTTTAGAACTACCATGAGACCCAGCAATCCCACTACTGGGCATGTACCCTGAGAAAACCAGAATTCAAAAAGAGTCATGTACCAAAATGTTCATTGCAGCTCTATTTACAATAGCCAGGACATGGAAGCAACCTAAGTGTCCATCGACAGATGGATGGATAAAGAAGATGTGGCACATATATACAATGGAATATTACTCAGCCATAAAAAGAAATGAAATTGAGTTATTTGTAGTGAGGTGGATGGACCTAGAGTCTGTCATACAGAGTGAAGTAAGTCAGAAAGAGAAAAACAAATACCGTATGCTAACACATATGTATGGAATCTAAAAAACAAACAAACAAAATAGTCTTGAAGAACCTAGGGGCAAGACGGGAATAAAGACACAGACCTACTAGAGAATGGACTTGAGGATATGGGGAGGGGGAAGGGTAAGCTGGGCCAAAATGAGAGAGTGGCATGGACATATATACACTACCAAACGTAAAATAGATAGCTAGTGGGAAGCAGCCACATAGCACAGGGAGATCAGCTCGGTGGTTTGTGACCACCTAGAAGTGGGGGATAGGGAAGGTGGGAGGGAGGGAGATGCAAAACGGAAGAGATATGGGGACATATGTATATGCATAACCGATTCACTTTGTTATAAAGCAGAAACTAACACACCATTGTAAAGCAATTACACTCCAATAAAGATGTTAAAAAGAAAAAAAGATAGCAGAGATGTAACCTCACATCCAGATACTTGCCCTACCTACCAGGACCATAATGATCTTGTCTGCATGAGGATTCAGCCGAGACACTCCACATTTCTATGCTGACCAGGAACCATGCAAACTGGGCAAAAAAAGAATTACAAAACCAAGTCAACAAAACAAGTGCTTATCCCAAGTTTTAAACGCATTAGCATTCTAAACAATAAAACAAAGCATGGGATTTCCCTGGTGGCACAGTGGTTAAGAATCCGCCTGCCAATGCAGGGGACATGGGTTCAAGCCCTGGTTGGGGAAGATCTCACATGCTGCAGAGTAACTAAGCCTGTGCGCCACAACTACTGAGCCTGAGCTCTAGAGCCCGTGCTCTGCAACGAGAAGCCACCACAGTGAGAAGCCCACAAACCACAAGGAAGAGAAGCCCCCGCTCGCCACAACTAGAGAAAGCCCGCACACAGCAAGGAAGCCCTAACACAGCCAAAAATAAATAAATAATTAATTAATTAAATAAAACAAAGCAAATCTATTCAGCGAAATAAACTTCATAGTAAAACTACCTACAAGAAAGTATGAAAGGAACTGCTACCAGATAAATTGCTAAATAGCAACTTCCTACTCTACTATCTGTACCATTGGATGTTTTTTGCGAACATATGACTGAATAATAACATCCAGTTCTTTGGCAGAGATGTGAAGGTTCAGAAGACTAGAGATTCTAGACCTACAACTACTACAGTGTGAATCTGGGCAATTCTCTTAGTCATATTCAAGCTACAACAGCTTTAACTACAAAATCAAACTTAAAGTCAATAAAAATATGCTGTATAATAAAATAACTATGATGTACATGTAAGTAAAGTATTATGCATATATATTAAGAAATAATCTTGTTACAGTCAAATTTTCATGTTTATAAATGAGTCTAAAGACAACAAAAGTTTTGGACTGACTTTCATATTCACAGTAACCAATTTTTTAGAATGAATTCCAAATGTCAAGCCTCTGACAGATGCCCTACCCTCTCTTTTCTGCATGTTCAGAACCTTAGACACATAAAATCAATAACTTTATAGCTTCTATATGAGAATAAACCCCTTCAATGTATGATAATTCCACCATGGGCTCAAGGAAATGTGACATGCAAATAGAGGGGGGGAAAGCACCAGGAAGAGGGTAAGCCACTATCATGCAAGCAGATGGTATGGCTAAAAAGATTTCCAGCGCTCATTAATATTAACACCAATCAGCATGTTCCCCCTAACCACTGAATTCAGAAACAGAAACGGCGTAAGTGGAAAAAAAAAGGTGTGTGTGTGGGGGTTGCATCAGAGACCTCTGGAAAGGGTGTAGGGATTAAGTTCTCCTTAGCGAAATGGAGAAGGAAGATGTACAATGAAGTTTTTAAAGGAATTTAAAATTCAATTTGAAAGGGAGAATAACGCACAGCAGAGCTTCAATCACAAGTTTTCTAACTGTTGTCCCGGCACCTAGAATTCCCTGTCTTCCTCAGTGACTCCCGGACTAACTCACTGAATGAAGGCAGAAGCACAGAGCTCCTCCTCCAAAAAAAGGCGAACAGTACCTTTCAGTACTACTCCTTTTCACTGGCGTGCTGGAGGGGCGGGCGGAGGGGGGCACCAAACCAAACCCATAACGCACCAAAATGCATGAGCTTTCAACTTTACGCGACTCGCAGAAAAAAAGAAGGCTGCGAACGCGAGCTTATTAGCAAATGGGAATCCGGGGCTGGCCCTGGGAGGTCAGCGCCGGCCCCGACAGTACAGAACGGGACCGAGGGCCTGACCCCAGCACACTCCTCTTCAAGGACTCTCCTCGAGGCCCCGGAGCCTCTCCCAACCCAGGGGGCAGCCCTTCTCTCCCCGCCAGGCTCTCAGACGCCAGCAGGCGAGGCCCGCCTCACCCCCAGCCCCCCTCAGAGGAGTCCTCAACTGCCTCACCAAAAAATGTTTGGCCTGGGAAGCCCGTTGGCTGCGCCATCCCTTACAGAATTAGCAAGAGTTAAAAGCCAGGAGAGGGAGAAGGAAACCCAAAGAGTCGGGGGCAGCTTCGGGAGAGGCGGAGCAGGGACGAGAGTGAGGCTGCCACGGTCACGGTGGCTGCAGCGCGAGGGAAGGAGAGGACGCACGGGCGAGACGCGAAACGCTGCAAACCCGGCGAGAGCGACGCTCTGACGACCGCGGCGCGCCGGCCGGACCCGCCGCGAAGCCAAGCCTCCTTAGCAGAGAGCGCCCCCACCGTCGCGCAGCCTCCCGGGGCTGGCCCCTCCGGCCTTCCAGCCCGCCCCGCCGCCCTCCCAGCCCCAGCCCCCGCCCACGGCTGGCTATGGTGTGTCCGCACTCGCACACTCACCGCGCGCGCGCGCCTCCACGGGGCGGCCGCCCGCCGCCCTCGGCGCTATCTCCGCCCCGCCCCCTGCGCCCGGCCAGTGGACTGGGCCCCGCAGGGCGGTGTCGGGGCTACGTCACGGGCGCGTGCGCTCTCTGAGCGCAGGCAGCGGCGCGCGCGGGTAGTTACGTGCTCATTGTGCCCGTTGTCCTTGGAGACGGGCCCGGGCCTGGGCGGCGTAGAGAGGCGCCAACGGCAGCGGGGCCCCTGGAGAAGCCAAGATGCCATCGAAGGGAAAGGATGAAAAGAAAGGGAAGGGTAAAGGTAAAGCCAAAGGCGAAGACAAGAAGAAGAAGTAAGGAGAAGCCACCCTGGGGTCCCTGCTCCCTGAGCCTACCCTCCCGGGACTCTCAGGGGCGGGCCAACTGGCGCCCTCCCGCCTCCCCTCCTGGACCCTCCTCTCTCCCCGCTTCTGAGGACAGCCCCCATTGTTCAGATATTACCAAAATGCACGCCAAACCATACTTCAACTAAGACAAGAGTGTGAGGCTTGGGACCCTGAAGTAACTTAGACACAGTCCCTGCCTATGTGTAATGTGCTAACGAACGAGGAGGAGGCTGATACGTTCCCGAAGAACAGAAGTAACATAGGACCGAATGAAGTTAAGTGCCAGTGGAGGGAAAAAGAATAGAGAATGAGGAGGAAGGGTTAGTTCTGACCCTAGAAGTGAAGGTCAGGATAACATGTTTTAGGATATCGAAGATCCTCTAGGCCTGTGCTGTCCAATAGGGTAGTCACTGGTCACGTGTGACTATTAAAATTAGTTAAAATTAAATAAAATTAAAAATTCAGATCCTCATTTGTACTGGCTACACTGCATGTCCTCAGTAGGCACACGTGGCTAGTAGTGGTGACTGTATTGGACAGCCCAGATATAGAGGATTAACACCATCACAGAAAGTTCTGTTGGACGGCATTGCTCTAGACCGGTGGTTCTCTGCCTGGGGTGATTTTTGGCTACCAGGAGACGTTTGTTAATATCTGGAGACATTTTTGGTTGTCACATCTGGGGACCTCTAGTGGATAAGAGGATGCTGTTAAATATCTTACACTGCACAGGACAACCCCCAGCCCCACTCTAAACAAAGAATGGTGTAGCTCAGAATATTTGTAGTTGGGAAGCCCTGCTCAAGGCTTTAAGCTTCTCTAGAATAGGCACTAAGCATTATTCACAGTAACTCCAGCACCTAGAAGAGACCCTGGATCATAGAGGATGCTTAATATTTGTTAAATAAACAAATTAAGGTGTCTGCTTGTCTATGCTTCAACTTGGATCTCCCCCCTCCCCCCCGCACAAGAACTATGCTCTGGTGCTCTGGGTTCATTATTTTTTGCCTGTAACATGATTGATCTCAGCTATGTGGTTGAGATGATCGTGGACATCCAAAGGATCTCTGGGTGATTGGTAGTTCCTTGGGCTTTTTTCAAGGATTCCTTTTGGTTCAAAGGAAAACATAAAGGATTTGACCAATTCAGGTAGTTATTCATGTCTCCGCAAAGTGATCAGAATTTCTGAAGTGGATAGTATTGCTCTAGCACTAAAGCTTTGCAGGCTTGGAGTTGCTGCTAGATTGCCACTAAACCTATTAGATGACCCTAGTGGTTCCTAGACATTGGAGTCATACACATTGTCCAACAGCACTATATATGGGACCACAAGGAAATCCTTGCAAAGTTTATAAAGTAACTTGTTTAAGAGAGTAATGCATGCTCAATACAGAAAGTTTAGGAAACATAGAAAGTCAAACAGAAAACAAAACCACCTGTAGTCCCATCATCCAAAGATAAGCACTACTATCATTTTGGAATATTCTTTTTCTTCTTTATAAAATGATAGCCCAATATACAATTTTATTTGTAACTTTTTCCCCCCAATGTATTATATAAGTATTCTACAGTGTGATTTTTTAAAAAGTATAACTGTGTAGTTAGTCTAGCCTTTTTTGGAAGTGCCAAGGGCTTATCACATTCCTGGAACTCACTAGCATGTTTTCTGTTTTTGACCATGCAGCTGCAGTGCTCGTATCAACAATGAGAAACACTGAGGCTAACAGACCATACATATTTCTTATTAACTCATTTATCCAACAGTATTTGCTCATATGTGCTAGGCAAATGCCAAGCAAAACAAATAACAATAAAGAGAAAGGTGTAATACTAATGTAGTAAAGAAATAGTTATATGCTGTCAATGTCCTCTTCCTGTGCAGGAAGATGATAAAAGTTGAGGAATCTGCCATGGAGAGAGCCAAGGCCAATGCCTCCCTTTGGGAGGCCAGGCTGGAAGCCACAGAACTCTCTAGGATTGAGTATCGTGATACTTCCCGGAGACTGGCAAAATGTAATGAAGAATTAAAGAAACAGCAGTATAGAATGGAGAAAGACACAATGTCTGTATTGAACTACCTGAAGAAACAGGATCAGGAGAAAGATAATCTGGTAGGTAGGTAGAAACCCTCCTGAGCCTTAGTAACTACCGCTGTGGTTATACTGGTGTGTTATATATTTCAAGGATTTTAATTCCTGGAAATCTCATCACATAGTTAAGACACTTCAATTGACTTTATCTCTCCTTTAAGCAACATGTTATTTCAGAATGGCTTTACTGTCAGAATTGGCTCTTTCTTATTTTCAGCCTTGTCCCATGTTTTCTTGCCTGAAACAAAGGTTGATGATCCTAAGGGAACATTATGATCAACTTTATTTTAAAAACAAGACCATGATATATGACCTATATATATATATTATGATACTGATAACTACCTAAGTAATTAATGATCTGTAAAGCAATTCACCCATAATCCGTGATCACATGGTTATGAACCCAGCAAGTTGAATCCCTTTTTTTTGGCCTGTTGAATCTTGAATTTATCTTATTGAACTTTGCTGAAATGTTGGGAGTAGAGCTATCATTTTAGATCTGGGAAAAAAAGGGAAGGGAACTAACATTTTGAGGCCCCTGTTTGTGCCAGGCACTATACTAAGTACTTTACCTCTGCTATGTCATTTAGTCCTTTTAATAACCCCCTGTAGCTACAAATTGTCATTCCCATTTTACAGAAAAAGAAATTGACTTTCAGGACAGGTAACTTGCCTGAAGTCTCACAGCTAGTGGGTGGAACTTAGGTGTGACTTAAATTCTTCTCTTTCCCATCTGCTTCTATGAGTCCCATGGACGCCCAAGGAAATTTACACCACACTTCATTCCCATGTATGTTTTTGTATTTTTACTATTTATGTATTATACATCCACAAATAATACATATTATAGTCTTGTTTTAAAATTTATATTAGTAGTGTCATATTGTACATATCTTTTGCAACTTATCTTTTATTTTTTTGCGGTACGTGGGCCTCTCACCGCTATGGCCTCTCCTGCTGCGGAGCACAGGCTCCGGACACGGAGGCTCAGCAGCCATGGCTCACAGGCCCAGCCGCTCCGCGGCATGTGGGATCCTCCCAGACCTGGGCACGAACCCATGTCCCCTGCATCGGCAGGCGGACTCTCAACCACTGCGCCACCAGGGAAGCCCGCAACTTATCTTTTTTATAAAACATGTTTTGTGGTATATTTACAAAAATCACATGATTCAGTTCATTGTTAAGAAGTTGATAATGAGCATGCTTTATTTTTTCATTCATTATTAACTGCTTTATAATATTCCATCAAATAAATAAATAAACCAAAATTTATTTGTTCATATCACCCTATGGGTCAGTTAGACTCCATTTTTTCATTATTACAAATAGACCTTCAGTAAACATTCTTGTGTATGTCTGCTTGTGCCCATATGTGAGAGTTTCTCTAGAGTAGACACTTAGGAGTTAAATTACTATATTATGAGGTATGCATAATTTCAACTTCATAAGGGTTTAAATTGAACTCCAAAGAGGTTATACCAATTTGTACTTTCACGAACAATGTATTAAAGTGAGTTCCCATTTATCCACATTTTGTGAACACTTGATATATATATTTTTTAATTAATTTATTTTATTTTATTTTATTTATTTTTGGCTGCATTGGGTCTTTGTCACTGCATGTGGGCTTTCTCTAGTTGTGGCGAGTGGGGGTACTCTTTGTTGTGGTGCGCGGGCTTCTCATTGCGGTGGCTTCTCTTGTTGCAGAGCACGGGCTCTAGGCACGTGGGCTTCAGTAGTTGTGGCACGTGGGCTCAGTAGTTGTGGCTCGTGGGCTCTAGAGCACAGGCTCAGTAGTTGTGGCACACGGGCTTAGTTGCCCTGTGGCATGTGGGATCTTCCCAGACCAGGGCTTGAACCCATGTCCCCTGCGTTGGCAGGCAAATTCTTAACCACTGTGCCACCAGGGAAGCCCCAAACACTTGATATTATACTTAATAATTTTTGCTCAATTTTATGTGTATAAATTGGTATGTCACTTTAATTTGTATTTTTCTGATTACTAGTTGCTTGAGCATCTTTTTTATGTTCCTTAACCCATTTTTTATTGTTTTTATGTGTTTGCTTCAGTATACATATTGGAGTGATGCAGAGCGTTTCTTCTACATAAGGATGACTTGCAAATTCATGAATCATTCCATAATTTTTTTCAAATGCCACATTTTCAGGGAGACCCTTGCTCACTACCCTGTTTAAAATTAAAACCATCTCCCTTATTTTATTTTCTTGGTAATATTTATTACCTTTTGTCATACTATATGCATGTTACTTATGTATTTATTTTCTCTTTTCCTAATTAGAATGAAACCACACAGAAGTAAAGAATTGGGGGCCTTTTTAAATTGTCGTTGAGTGTTGTATCTCCAGCATCTAGTATGGGCCTGGCACATAGTTGGCACTCATTAAAATATTTTTGCATGTGTGAATGAATGGATTGTGATTGCACTGATGCTTTGGAAAAGTTAATAGAAATCAAAACTAAGATCAAGATGATATTAGAAGCATATCAGAGAAATCGGACAACTGAACATTTGTGTGGATTTTGTGTGTTTTATTAAATAAAGTAATTTTTTTGTACATTACTTTTTTTAACCCTCTTTCCTAGGCGACTTCCAATTTTAAAATTACTCTGAATAGTATGCATTATTAAAATTGTCTGCTATAAAGTATTATTCTAAAATAAGCCTTTAGGCCAGCCATGCAAATAATTTTCAAAATTCATTATATAGAAGCTTTGTGGTCTGCGTTAGCTAATTGATATTGGTCTGCATTTATCGGTATCACTGGTATTTCCTGATTTTCATCTGCCTCCATGTATCAAAGACCAGCATCTGGCTGTAGCAAATACATAATTTTCTCACAATCATAGATACCCATTAAAACCAAAGAAACTACTTTGGGAGGAAGAAGTAGAATAGATTCAATATACCCTGGTCAATTAGTTCTCTTAGAGTTTTGTTATTCATTCTACTATATCCTAGAAATGCGTTATTTGCTTAAACTTTATTTAAACTGTTTATAGTCTTCATGTTAATTATAGAAATAATAGAAGTGAAGTGTGTTTTGAAAACTATTATATCTTGGACAAAATTAAGAGATTTCACTTATGGGTTTTGGTATTTAAGGCTTTGTTCAAGCAACACAAAATAAGTCTCCTGTGGCATGTGGGATCTTCCCAGACCAGGGCTTGAACCCATGTCCCCTGCGTTGGCAGGCAAATTCTTAACCACTGTGCCACCAGGGAAGCCCCAAACACTTGATATTATACTTAATAATTTTTGCTCAATTTTATGTGTATAAATTGGTATGTCACTTTAATTTGTATTTTTCTGATTACTAGTTGCTTGAGCATCTTTTTTATGTTCCTTAACCCATTTTTTATTGTTTTTATGTGTTTGCTTCAGTATACATATTGGAGTGATGCAGAGCGTTTCTTCTACATAAGGATGACTTGCAAATTCATGAATCATTCCATAATTTTTTTCAAATGCCACATTTTCAGGGAGACCCTTGCTCACTACCCTGTTTAAAATTAAAACCATCTCCCTTATTTTATTTTCTTGGTAATATTTATTACCTTTTGTCATACTATATGCATGTTACTTATGTATTTATTTTCTCTTTTCCTAATTAGAATGAAACCACACAGAAGTAAAGAATTGGGGGCCTTTTTAAATTGTCGTTGAGTGTTGTATCTCCAGCATCTAGTATGGGCCTGGCACATAGTTGGCACTCATTAAAATATTTTTGCATGTGTGAATGAATGGATTGTGATTGCACTGATGCTTTGGAAAAGTTAATAGAAATCAAAACTAAGATCAAGATGATATTAGAAGCATATCAGAGAAATCGGACAACTGAACATTTGTGTGGATTTTGTGTGTTTTATTAAATAAAGTAATTTTTTTGTACATTACTTTTTTTAACCCTCTTTCCTAGGCGACTTCCAATTTTAAAATTACTCTGAATAGTATGCATTATTAAAATTGTCTGCTATAAAGTATTATTCTAAAATAAGCCTTTAGGCCAGCCATGCAAATAATTTTCAAAATTCATTATATAGAAGCTTTGTGGTCTGCGTTAGCTAATTGATATTGGTCTGCATTTATCGGTATCACTGGTATTTCCTGATTTTCATCTGCCTCCATGTATCAAAGACCAGCATCTGGCTGTAGCAAATACATAATTTTCTCACAATCATAGATACCCATTAAAACCAAAGAAACTACTTTGGGAGGAAGAAGTAGAATAGATTCAATATACCCTGGTCAATTAGTTCTCTTAGAGTTTTGTTATTCATTCTACTATATCCTAGAAATGCGTTATTTGCTTAAACTTTATTTAAACTGTTTATAGTCTTCATGTTAATTATAGAAATAATAGAAGTGAAGTGTGTTTTGAAAACTATTATATCTTGGACAAAATTAAGAGATTTCACTTATGGGTTTTGGTATTTAAGGCTTTGTTCAAGCAACACAAAATAAGTCTAATTATATTTTACACCTGTCCTACATGACTGAGGACTGTCTCAATTTATTTTAAAACATTTTCAGGGTTTCCTTAAACTATTCTAAGATTATTTACAACAGTATTTCACTTCTGTATCTTCTGATTCTATAATCACGTCAAGGAATTTTTAGTTTAAAAAGCTACTCAGATTTCCTACTAAAACATACCAGCATCCTTGGAGAAATGATTGATTCTAAGACTGGAGCAGGGAGAGTAAAAAATGAACTAAAAAATGAATTTGGAATATCTTGTGACAGGAAGTCAGTAAAAAAAAATTAAAGGACACGGCGGGTAGCTTGAAGGGGTTCCCACTGACCAAATCTGGGACATTCAAAATAAATAATGACAGTAATAAATTATAACTGAATAAAATGAGTCCATGAGTGCATACAACTAATAGATAAACACATACATTAATAAATAAGGGAGAGGGACTTCCCTGGTGGTGCAGTGGTTAGGAATCTTCCTGCCAATGCAGGGGACAGAGGTTCGAGCCCTGGTCTGGGAAGACCCCACATGCCATGGAGCAACTAATCCTGTGTGCCACAACTACTGAGCCTGCGCTCTAGAGCCCGTGAACCACAACTACTGAGCCCATGCATCGAGAGCCTGCGCTCTGCAACAAGAGAAGCCACCGCAATGAGAAGCCCGTGCACTGCAACGAAGAGCAGCCCCTGCTCACCACAACTAGAGAAAGCCTGCTCGCAGCAACGAAGACCCAACACGGCCAAAAATAAATAAATAAATTTATTTATTTATTTAAATAAATAAGGGAGAATAGAAAGTTTTTCCTTATAGTGGAATGCAGTAAATTATTAAATTTCCACGGAATGATAGAATTAGAAAAGTCACCATTTGGCTTCAGAGTAATAATTGATTCAGTCAAGAACAACAGTGGATGCTAAAACTAGTGGGTGAAATTTTGATGAGCAGAGGATATTTGCATAGTCTCAAAATATCTTCCCCGAAAATACTTAATAATTACAAAAGGAAAAATAGTAACTTCTAAGTGGAGAAACCTGGCAGACACAATCTTAACCAGTTGATTACAATTAACGTCAGTCACTTCATGATGTGATGCAGTGACAAGGATACATCATCACTTAGGCAGTGTATGCCTGCCAAAAGGGCATAACCTGAATCTTGTCATGAAGGAACATCAGACAACTCCAACCCTGGCCAGTATTTTTCAAAAACTTTGATATCATAAAAGACAAAGGCTGAGAAACTGCCCCAGATTAAAGAGAGTAGGATATATGACAACTAAGTGTAATCATAATCAGGGATTACATCCTGGACCAGGAAAAGGAAAGTTACAATAAAAGGACACCATTGGGGCAATTGATGGCAAAATTTGAACATGGACTATAGATTAAATAATAGTATTTTACCAATGTTAAATTTCCCAATTTTGATCATTGTACTGTGCTTCTAAGAGATTGTCCTTTTTTTTAGGAAATACATACTGAAATATTTAGGGGTACAGGGGTATGATGTCCTAGACTTATTTTCACATGCTCCAGAAAAAACAGTTTCAAACATCTGTATCATATATACATATATTTAGATAGACCTATCATAGAGGGAAAGCAAATGTGGCAAAATTGGATGGAGAGTATATGAGAATTCTTTGTACTGTTCTTGAAACTTTTCTTTAAAAAATTCCTCATTTAAAAGAAGTGCAAATCAAAACACCAAGTCATCACTTCACATCCATTAAGATGGCTACTATCAGGAAAACAAGGGACTTCCCTGGCGATCCAGTGGTTAAGACTTCACCTTCCAATGCAGGGGGTGCGGGTTCAATCCCTGGTCGGGGAGCTAAGATCCCACGTGCCTCAGGGCCAAAAAACCAAAACAGAAAACAGAAAAACAGAAAATAGCAAGTGTTGCTGAGGATGTAGATAAATTGGAATCCTTGTGCACCATTGGTGGGAGTATGAAATGGTGTAGCCATTATGGAAAACAGTACAGAGGTTCCTCAAAAAATTAAAAATAGAATTATCATATGATCCAAAAATCTCACTTTGGGGTACATTTCCAAGAGAATTTAAAGCAGGATCTTGAAGAGACAATTGCACACCCATGTTTTTGAAACATTATTCATATAAACATTATTCACATAAACATTATTCACATCCATATAGTCAAGATGTGGAAACAGCCCAAATGTCTGTTGATGGATGAGTGAATAAAATGTGTTATACATTTTTATATTCCAATACATTTTTATATTCCACTGTATATTCCAATATACAATGGAATATTATGCAGCTTTTAAAAAATAGAAGTCTTGTCATATGCTACAACATAGATGAACCTCAAGGCCATTATGCTAAGTGAAATAAGCCAGTTACAAAAGGACAAATACTGTATGATTCCACTCATATGAAGTGTATGTGGACAGGGAATGTTGCCCGACACTCCAGTAAACAATGAACGTTGCCCACTATTCCAGTTCTATAAGGATCAAGCCATCAGCCATTGCAGCCCCTTACCCCTACCCACCACCTGCCTCCCCCCATGGTGCGTCCTGAGGGGAATTCAGGATGGAGAAAAACAGGAAGCCTTCTGTGCTTTGGATACTGACCCTAGATAGTTAAGATGCATATCTAAGGAATAATTACAAGCCCAGATGTTGCATCTTCCCTTACATAGAAAAGCACTAAAGTCATTAACTTGAAATGCCCATTCCTTGTGATTAGTAGTAATCTTTTGATGTCTGACTACATGTTTTTTTCCAGCAAGAAACTCCTGTATATCCTGGCTCCTCTTTTACCTCTTCTGAGCAGTTCCTCAGAGCTCTCTGAGAGGCTGTTTCCCAGGCTATAGCCCTCAGTATAATCCTAGAATAAAACTTAACTCACAACTTTCAGGTTGTGTGGTTTTTCTTCAGTGGACATATCTGAAGTAATCAAAATCATAGAAACAATGCAGAAAGGCTACGGGGAGGGAAGAGAAGGAATTAGTGTCTCATGAACATAGAGTTTCTGTTTTGCAAGATGAAAAATTTCCAGAGATCTGCACAACAATGTGAATATATACTTAAAAATGGTTAAGATCATAAATTTAATGTTGTGTTTTTTACCACACACACACACACACGTTACCCAGGCAATTGTGATGATAGCCAAGTTTTGGAAGCTGGCAATAGCAAGTTAACAGGGTGGATTATGTCCTCTATTCTCTTCTTTCCACATCTCCAACCCTACTGGTTTTAATATCATGTGAAAACTAGACTACTTAATTAAGTTAGGATGCAGAGTAATTTCTTTACCTTCCTCTGTATTTCCATTTTCTACAGATTGAAAAACTGAAACAGCAATTGAGTGAAACTAAGGAAAAAGCCCAAGAAGAGAAGGAAAAATTGGTATGTACATTGGTGGTCACTTACCGGTGGTCAGGTTTCTGGCAAGTTCAGATATTTAAGACACAAGGAGAACAAGTGAGTAGATCCTTTGAGCAGCTCAAGTGACCTTAAAGCCCACACACTTGATTGTACAGAAGCTCAAAAATAACATAAAATTTTGTTATTGTAGAAAACCATCTGGTATTAGTGGTGTTTACTGATCTTGAGCTCTAGGGCTTTTCAGTGGACAGAGCTAGGAAATATATAGTTTTTGAAGATTAAAATATATCATAAGCCCATACTTATACTTTAAATTCAGATGCAGGAGTACAGGATTTTTACTATACTTTATCTGTGTCTCCTTTCTTCCTCACCAAAAACCCTGGTTCTTAATGATACCAGTATAATTGTGTATTTTCTTCAAACCTTAATACATCAATAGGCACAGAATACTAATATTAATACTACCACCAACATAAATTAGTGGATACAGTTTAAGATTTGGGGGGGGACACTTTTTCCCTTAGGATATAGGGGTCTACAATCAAATTAACAAGGTTTAAAAATGATTTGAAATAATTCCTTCTTGTGAGGATATGCCACCAACTCAACAACACATTTTGCTTTTGATTTTTAGGACTTGCTTTATAAAGTTTAATTTAATGTACAATTATGTAATTATATAATTATAATTATGTAAAATATTTATATGGTTCCAAAGTAAAATCTATCAAACATGGTATATTCTGAGAAATCTAACTTCTATCCATGTCTCCACAATATACCAGAGTATATTGTCAAAATGGATTTTTGTCAACATAGGTAAGAAATGATATTTCAGTGTAGTTCAATTTGCGTTTCTTTTTTTCTTTTTTTTACCTTTTAGATTTTTATTAGTAGTTCTCTCTGAAGAATCAAAATAGTTGGCAAAGTACTTTAGATTCATCAAGACTGTATATCCTTAGTATTTAGATCCTTAATGATGTACAACATAATACAAAACAAACCAAAGAGACTGATTTCTACGACTAGGTGTTATTCATTGTGTCATCCTAGAGCAAGGGGCTGGAGGGAGAGGCTGTTCTCCAGGGAGGACAGAGGGGGAGCGAGTGCTGGGTGACTAAATCACAGCCTCTTTCTTCCCCACTTGATGTGCTGGGAAGGGGCCAATGATTTCTTAAACTGACAACTGTTTTCTAGAGCAGGGGGCTCTAAACTCTGGGGTAGCAGAAGACTGTGGTCCAAACCAGGCCAAAAGAAACAGGCTGGGGCAGGGAGGTATGGTAACTGCCTGGCAGAAAAGGCAAACTCAGGGCCCCAAGGGGAAAAGGGCATTCTTTGCACCTCAGAGACACTGCAGAACCAGTGTAACCCTAAGTGAGGTCGTTAAAAGGGGAAAAAAACAAAACCCTGGAAGAGCCTTTCAATTGCACTCAACTTGGATTAGAGGTCAGTCCACCCTTGCAGAGAAGGGAAACATCTAGCCCCAAAGTAGCACTGAGTCTGGCCCTCCCACCTCCTTCTCCCCAATTCCTTTTGGCAGCTGGGCCAGGTTTCAGCTGAGGCCATACAGACCCCAGAAAGACCAGAGAAGTCTCTCTGGATGGTCAACGTGGGAAGGACACTTCTCAGAATACAAATACTTTTACTATGGAAGGAGCCAGGACAGTTCTGGGGGCATTTGCATGCCCAAATCTTCCCCACTTTCTCCCCAGCTTAGGACCTAGGCTCATAGAGACTTGGCAAGCACAGTCTCTACACCTGACCTTCCACCCCCAAAAGAAAATCTGGAAGTGTGCCCTTTCTTCCCCACAGGTTGTCTCCTCAGGGCCTTCGGCAGTGGGGGCTCCGTGGCAGGGCCTAGGCAGGGCCTGGTCTCAGCTGGCTCCCGCCCGAGCCATGAGGTCTTCCAAAGCATTGTCCTGGTTATTGTTGTGTAATAGCAGAACTTCCTTAATATCTTTCAGTTCAAAGCCCATTTCCTTAAATTTGCTCATTAACTGAAGGAACTCCATCATCTTTTCCTCTGAACACTGCTGCATTTCCAGAGCCTCTTCCACTAAAAGAGGGTCAAAGCCCTTCTCACAGAGCTGTCCATGTGCAAAGAGATAGTCGAGAATCTGCTCAATATTCTCTCCTTTCTTCTTCATGGCTTTCAAGACATACTCATATGAGTCGCCCATGTTGATCACCGCCTCCACACATTGCCACTCACTGGGGGACAGCCTCTGCAGTTCAGAATAAACCTGGGGACAGCTGGGAGTGTTGGGCACTTGTGACATTGAGGAATTAGGAGGTGTGACCGAGGGACAGGTATTTGGAGGTGATGATTCTTCTGTGCACACAGACAAGACAGAGAGGGAAGGCATCTGGGAATGGTTCAGGGTTGGTGCCTCTGTGCCACTGTCCAAGTTCAAAGCTGAAAGCCCAAGAGTATGATGCCCATTGAGCTCACTGGCACTGCTTTGGGTGGAAGGTTTTAGGGAATTCTGGAACGTGCCACTGCGGAGGCAGGATGTGCTGTGGAAAGTGCTTGCCATCTTGGCTGTCTTCTGACTGCTGTCATCGGAGTCAAGTTTGGGGAAGGACAGGGACTTGATAATGCTTACTGCAGGGATGGGGGGGAGGGAGACTTTGGAAGACAGCGACATCTTTTCACAGTTGCCCAACTGTGGTAAGGTTATAAAGCCACTGGGTTTGTGAAGAGGCTTGAAATCTAGGGTTGCCTGCTCCAGGGATGCCAGGACCTCCTCATCCTGTAACACAGACCCAGAGCCACCTCTAGGGAAGTTACTGTCCAATAACTGGGCCATAATGGGTCCACTGGTTCCTACCAGAATGTTTCTCAGCTCTTCCTTCTCATCAATAGTTTTTAACTCCAGATTATCAAACGGGTCTTCTTCACACTCAAAGTCAGCAGGATTGAAATCTGCCTTTGTGTGGGGTGGGCTGAGAACTTTCTGTCTTGTGGCACTGCTGCTGACCTGAGTCGGGGTGAGGATGCTGTTGTGCTGTAAGCTGGCAAGGATGGGATTGATAGGAGGTGGCATTGTGGCTGTACTGTGAGTCTTGGAGAAGCTCATTTTGCTGTCACCCTCTGGGCCACTCTTAGAATTCACTTTAGCTTCTGCTTCCTCAGCCTTGTGCTCTGCTTCCCACTGGGCTTCTTTGATTTTCTTAATATCTTCAGCCCACTCAATGGTTTTCTTTTCCAAAGAGAAGCCATTCTGTACTTCTCTGACAACCTGCAAACAGTCAGGCAAGGAGAAACCAATAGGTAGACCAACTTTAGCTGGTGTTTTGAATTTGTCTCCTATCTTAAATGGGACATCATCAAGGTCACTGAAAGTCCCATGAAAATCTGCACCCAACTTCTTAGAAGCCATTTAGAACCTGAACGCTGCCACTGCTGTCCCAGAAGCTGAAAGGTGATGCCACCGACCGGCCTCCCAGGCTCTGTCCCCGCTGAGCTCCTGACGGTCCCTAGGGAGAGTGAACACCACCACCTTCAACTCTGCCCTACCCAGGCCAGGCCGTCACCGTAGCCACCGCCAGGGCCACAGCTGCCATGCTGAAGCCCCACTTCCCTCCTCCTTCCTGCATTTCTCTTATTATGAGCTAGATTGAGTATTTTTTCATGTGGTTGAGAGTCATTTGTATTTCTTTTGATAGCCCTTGTTCATGTTTTAATTGTGTTATTGGGCCTTTTTCTCCTCTATTTCCCTCTTTTTTTTTTCCTTACCCTCTCCTCTTCCCTTTCTCCTCCTCTCTCTTTTTTTTCTCCTTCTCTGTCTCCCCCTTTCCTTCCTCCTTTTCCCACCTTCTCCCTTCTTTATTTATAAGAGATATTGGCCCTCCCTTTGTCTCTTAGCTTACTAACTTTAATTTAGGATCAGGGATGTTATTTATTTTTCTTACAGGTTAAAGATTTGTTCAGTCTTCTCATACCTCTTTTATTTTTTAAAATAAATTTATTTATTTGTTTTTTATTTTTGGCTGTGTTGGATCTTCGTTGCCGCACACAGGCTTTCTCTAGTTGCGGTGAGTGGGGGCTACACTTCATTGCAGTGCGTGGGCTTCTCATTGCGGTGGTTTCTCTTGTTGCGGAGCACGGGCTCTAGGTACATGGGCTTCAGTAGTTGCAGCACGTGGGCTCAGTAGTTGTGGCTCTTCTGCGCTCTAAAGCACAGGCTCAGTAGTTGTGGCACACGGGCTTAGTTGCTCCGCAGCATGTGGGATCTTGCTGGACCAGGGCTTGAACCTGTGTCCCCTGCATTGGCAGGCAGATTCTTAACCACTGCGCCACCAGGGAAGTCCCTCATACTCTTTTAAATAAATATCTACATCTTCTATACAAGATCAGCTCACTTTAGAATTTTTTTTTTTTTTTTTTTTTTTTTTTGCGGTACGCGGGCCTCTCACTGCTGTGGCCTCTCCCGTTGCGGAGCACAGGCTCCGGACGCGCAGGCTCAGCGGCCATGGCTCATGGGCCCAGCTGCTCCGCGGCATGCGGGATCCTCCCAGACTGGGGCACGAACCCGTGTCCCCTGCACTGGCAGGCGGACTCTCAACCACTGCACCACCAGGGAAGCCCCACTTTAGAATTTTTTTACTTATTCAAGGCACTTGGTCTCTTTTAATAAAAATTAAAACTTTATGCAAAAGCAAAAATAAAAGGAACAATTTCTTCAAAGATAGACAAATGGCTTAAGGCTTCATATGGAACAGGACTTTGTGTGACCTCTGTTCTTTTTCCTAACTCATTTACCTTTTTTTTTTGCCTACAGGAACAAAAATATACTGTGCAAATCAGTGAGCTGGAGGGACAGTTCCATCAAAAAGCCAGAGAAATTGGCATGATTCAGACAGAGCTCAAAACAATAAAACAATTCCAGAAGAGAAAAATCCAAGTAGAGAAAGAATTAGATGATGTAAGTTTCTTTCTTTCTTCCTTTTTTTTTTTTATAGGAGATTAGAATTAACTACTTATGTCTGCAAAGGCCTTCATAGAAATTTACTCCTATGAGATAGTAAAGGAATCCCTTTGACATTTTAGAGATTATATGAGAGAAACAGGAAAGATATATCAGTGTAGGACTGAACGCAAAAAGTCTTGATAGTTAGACTTTTCTTTTTCTAAGCTTTGATTTCTTTGTGAATTCACCAGATCTTAGTGAATACACCTGCTCACATTTATCAGCAGTTAAACCTTTGGAACTACAGATCCAGAAAAACATTAAGGGCAAAGTAGTGAAGTCCTAAAGGAAAATATGTTTAGACTGATGAATGATAATTTTAGAAAAATTTAAGACACTCTGGGTAGGGGTGGATGTGGTGAGGAAAACTGAGTACTTTCAGAAAGTTTCTCTGACCTTGCATGCTCTTTCCATTCCCTCAGTTCAGAAAATAGTTCTCTTGCATTAATGACAATGCAATAAATGGCACAGATGAGGGCTGGGCACAAGTAGCTGAAATCAGCTTTGTGGTTTTGGGCAAATTACTTACCCTCTCTATACCTAGGTTTCCTCATCTGTAAAATGGGGGTGATAAGAGTTATTGGCTCATAGGGTTGTTGTAAGGCTTAAATGAGTTCATATATGTAAAGTGCTTAAAATAGTGTATGTCACATAGTGAGAATTAACAGTGGTGTGTAGCTCTCTGCAAAAAAAGGTCCTCATTTGTAGCATTTGCTGATTTCCTTGGTGTAAATACTTATGTTGTGGCCAATTTCAAGCTACCAATGCTTTTACAATGTGCTAGCAAAATTCCTGGTATGAGCCAGCTCTAACACGCAGCTGCTGCTATTATTAGTAATAGTAACAGAAATAGTACTGCCACCTAAGATAGCCATACACCATGTGGTATAGGGGCTAAAAGTTGGTGCTTTGAAGTCATACTGCTAGAGTGTAAATACTGTCTTCACTACTTGGATATCTTGTTAAGTTTCCTCATCTCTAACATGGGGGTGAGAACACTAGTACTAATTTCAAAGGGTCATTGTGAAGACTAAATGAAATACAGGTTTCCCTCGCTATCTGAAAGTAGTTCCTATGAAACCTTTCCTAAGCTGAAGAAGCAGTTACCATAGGACACACCTTGCTAACAGAAGCACAGAATCAAGATAAAGCACAGATGCTCACAGACGTAGTTCAAAGCTATGGCAGCTTGATGCTGAGTATAGTTCCCAGGGAAGGAGTTTAGTGGTGCCACTCCCCTCGTTGCTAAGGGTGTGCTTTGCCTCAGTAACACCGCTCGCTGCTGAACACTATATTTTTGCTTTTCACCTTTTTTTCATAAAAGTGAAAATCCTCTCTGGATTACTTTCGGTTAGCGAAAACAGGTACTAATGTAGATTTTTTTGTAAAAGCAGAGTGGTGTAAAGCGAACTTTCAGAAAAGTGGGGAATACCTGTAATCTGTTTTACTGTAAATGCTTAGCACTGTATGATAAAGATTACCTGCTGTTGCTGATCCTGCTATTCTTATTACTGCACATTAGACTCCTAAGAAATTTTCAGTCTTATAACCGGTAGTTTGTACCCTTTGACCAATATCTCCCCATTTCCCCCTCCCCCCAGCCCAGGTAACCACCACCCTGAGTTCAACTTTTTTTTTTGGCGGGTCCCTAGGGCTTGTGGGATCTTAGTTCCCCAACCAGGGTTTGAACCTGGGCCCTAGGCAATGAGATCTCTGAGTCCTAACCACTGGACCACTAGGAATTCCAAATGTGGACGTATTTTAAGTTCACCACAACACCGCAGTACAAAGTACACACTACTGCAGGAATAATCTTAAAATATCACAGTTCTGATGATGTTCTGGTCACTTCCCTCAAGAATCTTTAGAAATAGACTCACAGACTTAGAGAACGAACTTATGGTTACCGGGGGGGGGGAAGGGTGGAGGGAAGGGATAGTTAGGGAGTTCGGGATTGACGTGTACACACTGCTATATTTAAAATAAAAATAGCAACAAGGGGGGAAAAAAGAATCTTCTTTAGTAAAGAAGATTATGAACAATCTTCTCTATTGTAAACAGAATATTGTCCAGACAGCTTAGCGTGAAAATCAAGACCCTACACCTACTTTGGAACATATTATTTCCCTTTCCTACACTTTCCCATACACACCACCCAACCCGGATATTTAATCCACCCAACCCGGATATTCCCTGAAGTCTTTTCTGCCTTTCTTTATTTACGCTGTTTCTTCTCTCTGGAATATACTCCTGATAGAACTCTGTCCATTAAAATTTTACCTATTCTTCAGAGGCTCAGCTCAAATGCGTATTCTCCATAAGGACTTCCTCAGTGAGCTGTTTAAAAGTAATAATTTTCTTCTTGCCATTTGTGACAATTTGGACAAAACTTGAGGGTGTTATGCTAAGTGAAAGAAGTCAGACAGAGAAAGACAAATACTGTGCAATACAACTTATATGTGGAATCTAAAAAAAGCTGAGGGACTTCCCTTGTGGCGCAGTGGTTAAGAATCCGCCTGCCAATGCAGGGGACACAGGTTCAAGCCCTGGTCCAGGAAGATCCCACATGCCGCGGAGCAACTAAGCCTGTGTGCCACAACTACTGAGCCTGCACACTAGAGCCCATGAGCCACAACTGCTGAGCCCTCATACCACAAATACTGCAGTCTGCACGCCTAGAGCCTGTGCTCTGCAACAAGAGAAGCCAGCACAATGAGAAGCCCGCACACCACAACAATGAGTAGCCCCCACTCGCCACAACTAGAGAAAGCCTGCGCACAGCAAAGCAACGAAGACCCAACACAGCCAAAAATAAATAAAATAAAATAAATAAATTTATTAAAATAAATAAATAAATAATTTAAAAAGCTGAACTTTGGGAATTCCCTGGTGGTCCGTGGTTAGGACTTGTTACTTTCACAGCGGTGGCGCAGCTTCAATCCCTGGTCTGCAGATCCCACAAGCAGTGTGGTGCAGCCAAAAAAACCCACGCTGAACTCAGAGTGGTTACTTGGGCTGGCGGGGAGAGGAATGGGGAGATGTTGGTCAAAGGGTACAAACTGCCAGTTATAAGACTGACAAGTTCTTAGGAATCTAATGTACAGTATGGTGATTATAACTAATAATACTGTATGACATACTTGAAAGTTGCTAAGAGAGTAGATCTTAAATGTTCTTGCTACAGAAAAAGAAATGGTAGTTTTTGTGACATGATGGAGGTGTTAGCTAATGCTATGGTAGTAATCATTTTGCAATATAGTGTATTAAAGTAACACATTGTACACCTTAAATTTACACAATGTTATAGATTAATTATATTTCAATTAAGCTAGAAAAAAGAAAAAAAAGAGAAAAAAATTTTAAAAGATGATTAGCAAAAAAGTAATTTTTTGTATGTTTCCATAGCATTTTGTATTTCTTTTATACCGCTTAGCCCATTCTATCTTGATATTATATTTATTATTTATCTTATCTCCCCTGCTAGATTGTAAATTTTTTGAGGCATGAACAGTACTGTGCTTTGTATTCATTGAAGGACAGGATACACAGTAATGCTCAGTAAATCTATGTTAAATGCTGAGTGGGTCTTTTATTAAATGTAATTGAAGGAATATCAAGTTTTCCACTAAATGGGAAGAATCCTTTCACAATGTATATGTATATCAAATCATCATGATGTACACTTGAACTATCATACATTTTATTTATCTACAATTCCTCAATAAAGCTGAAAAGTTTCTAGAAAGAATATCTAGTTTTGTTTTATATGAAAATGCTGCAGAATGAATCATGTTAAGTTCACTAACTTTTCAGGAACTTTAAAATAGCCATCCTAGGTGTAGGTATACATTCTGAATCAAAGTGAATTAGGAACTAGTTGTTAAGAAAACACTCCCATTTACCATTGCAACAAAAAGAATAAAATACCTAAGGATGGGCTTCCCTGGTGGCGCAGTGGTTGGGAGTCCGCCTGCTGATGCAGGGGACACGGGTTCGTGCCCCGGTCTGGAAGGATCCCACATGCCGCGGAGCAACTGGGCCCGTGAGCCACGGCCGCTGAGCCTGCGCATCCGGAGCCTGTGCTCCGCAACGGGAGAGGCCACAACAGTGAGAGGCCTGCGTACTGCAAAAAAAAAAAAAAAAAAACCTAAGGATAAGCCTACCCAAGTACACAAAAGACCTGTATGCAGAAAACTATAAGACACTGATGAAAGAAATTAAAGATGATACCAACAGATGGAGAGATATACCATGTTCTTGGATTGGAAGAAGCATTGTGAAAATGACTATACTACCCAAAGCAATCTACAGATTCAATGCAATACCTATCAAACTACCAATGGCATTTTTCACAGAACTAGAACAAAAAATTTCACAATTTGTATGGAAACACAAAAGACCCCAAATAGCCAAAGCAATCTTGAGAAAGAAAAATGGAGCTGGAGGAATCAGGCTCCCTGACTTCAGAGTATACTACAAAGCTATAGTAATCAAGACAGTATGGTACTGGCACAAAAACAGAAATATAGATCAATGGAACAGGATAGAAAACCCAGAGATAACCCACATACATATGGTCACCTTATCTTTGATAAAGGAAGCAAGAATATACAATGGAGAAAAGACAGCCTCTTCAATAAGTGGTGCTGGGAAAACTGGACAGCTACATGTAAAAGAATGAAATTAGAACACTTCCTAACACCATACACAAAAATAAACTCAAAATGTATTAAAGACCTAAATGTAAGGCCAGACACTATAAAACTCTTAAGAGGAAAACATAGGCAGAACACTCTATGTGTTCTGCAAGCAAGATCACAGCAAGATCCTTTTTGACCCACCTCCTAGAGTCATGAAAATAAAAACAAAAATAAACAAATGGGACCTAATGAAACTTAAAAGCTTTTGCACAGCAAAGGAGACCATAAACAAGATGAAAAGACAAGCTTCAGAATGGGAGAAAATGTGTGCAAATGAAGCAACTGACAAAGGATTAATCTCCAAAATATACAAGCAGCTCATGCAACTCAATATCAGAAAAACAAACAACCCAATCCAAAAAAGGGCAGAAGACCTAAATAGACATTTCTCCAAGGAAGATATACAGATTGCCAACAAACACATGAAAGGATGTCCAACATCACTAATCATTAGAGAAATGCAAATCAAAACTACAATGAGGTATCACCTCACACCAGTCAGAATGGCCATCATCAAAAAATCTAAAAACAATAAATGCTGGAGAGGGTGTGGAGAAAAGGGAGCCCTCTTGCACTGCTGGTGGGAGTGTAAATTGATACAGCCACTATGGAGAACAGTATGGAGGTTCCTTAAAAAACTAAAAATAGAACTACCATATGACACAGCAATCCCACTACTGGGCATATACCCTGAGAAAACCATAATTCAAAAAGAGTCATGTACCAC